AAATCGAAAAGTCGAGAAACAATCGAAAAACTGAGAAATCGAGACACCGAAACACGGAAAAATTGAGCAATCGAGAAGTGAAAATTACAAAATATCGAAAAATCAAAAAATCGAAAGATCACGTGACCGAAAATTAGAAAAATTAGAAACACCAAACACTGGAAAATTGTAAAATTGTAAAACTGAAATATCGGAAAATTGAGAAATTGAAAAATAAAATAATCGAGAAATGAAAAATTGGAAAAATCGAGAAATTTAATAATCAAAAAATTGAAAAATTCCAAACCCCAAAAATTGAAAAACTGATCAGTCGATAAATAAAAAAATTGGTCGAAAGTTGCACATTTTGACTAAAAAATTACCATGCTTACAATAACTTCTAAACGTCTGCAAGATTTCAAAGTATTCAGTTTTGCAATTCTCGACTTATTGAACAAAATAAATTGTTTTTTACTTTTTAATGCGAAAAAGTGAAAATCGAGAAACCCAAAAATCGAAACATCGAAATCTGGAAAATTCGAAAATTGATAAAACTGAAAAATTGAAAAATTTAAAATCCAAAAAATTGAAACATCGAAAAACCGAAAAACAAAAATACGAGAAATCGAAAAATCAAAAATTTAAGAAACCAACAACTTGAAACATCAAAAACCGAATAATCAAAAAACGACAAATCAAGAAATCGAAGAAATTAACATAAATAAAAAAATGAAGAATCGTAATAATTGAAAAATCTCAAAATTGATCAATCCATAAATCGAAAAATTGAAAAATCCCATAATTGAAAAAAAAACTAAGCTATCGAAAAATTGCAAAATCGAGAAATCGATAAGTCGAGGAAGAATCGAAAATATGAAAATGGAAAAATCGAGAAATTGAGCAATGGAGAAATGAGAGAATCGAAATATTCAACAACCGAAAAATCTAATAGTCAAAAGGTCGAGAAGTCGAAAAATCGAAAAGCCGAAAAATTGAGCAGTCGAGGAATGGGAGGATCAAAATATCGAAAAATCAAAAAGTCGAGAAGTCAGAAAATCACAAAATTGAATGAAAAAACAATTTATCGAAAAATCGAAAATATAGAAACACCAAAAACTGGACTATTAAAAAATTGAGAAATTGAAGATTCGAAAATTAGAAAATCCTAAAACTCGAATATCCAAAAATTTTAAAATCGAAGAAAAATTGAATAATCTCAAAACTGGGACATCGAAAAACTGAGATAGGGGAAAATTAAAAAATCGAGAAATCGAAAAGTCGAGAAACAATCAAAATATGAAAATCGAAAAACTGAGTAATCGAAACACCGAAACACGGAAAAATTGAGCAATCGAGAAATGAAAAATTCAAAATATCGAAAAACCAAAAAATCGAAAAATCACTTGACCGAAAATTAGAAAATTTAGAAACACCAAACACTGGAAAATTAAACATCCGGAAAATTGTAAAATTGTAATACTGAAATATAGGAAAATTGAGAAACTGAAAAATAAAATAATCGAGAAATGAAAAATTGGAAAAATCGAGAAATTTAATAATCGAAAAATTGAAAAATTCCAAACCCCAAAAATTGAAAAACTGATCAGTCGATAAATAAAAAAATTGGTCGAAAGTTGCACATTTTGACTAAAAAATTACCATGCTTACAATAACTTCTAAACGTTTGCAAGATTTCAAAGTATTCAGTTTTACAATTCTCGACTTATTGAATAAAATAAATTGTTTTTTACTTTTTAAGTCGAAAAATTGAAAATCGAGAAACCCAAAAATCGAAACATCGAAATCTGGAAAATTCGAAAATTGATAAAACTGAAAAATTGAAACATCGAAAACCGGAAAATCAAAAAACGACAAATCAAGAAATCGAAGAAATTAACATAAATAAAAAAATGAAGAATCATAATAACTGAAAAACCTCAAAATTCGATCTCCAAAAATTGATCAATCCATAAATCGAAAAATTGCAAAATCGAGAAATCGAAAAGTCGAGAAACAATCGAAATTATGAAAATGGAAAAATTGAGAAATCGAGACACCGAAACACGGCAAAATTGAGCAATCGATAAATGAAAAATTCAAAATATCGAAAAACCAAAAAATTGAAAAATCACTTGACCGAAAATTTAGAAACACCAAACACTGGAAAATTAAACATTCGGAAAATTGGAAAATTGTAAAACTGAAATATCGGAAAATTGAGAAATTGAAAAATAAAATAATCGAGAAATGAAAAATTAGAAAAATCAAGAAATTTAATAATCAAAAAATTGAAAAATTCCAAACCCCAAAAATTCAAAAATTGATCAGTCGATAAATAAAAAAATTGGTCGAAAGTTACACATTTTGACTAAAAAATTACCATGCTTACAATAACTTCTAAACGTCTGCAAGATTTCAAAGTATTCAGTTTTGCAATTCTCGACTTATTGAATAAAATAAATTGTTTTTTACTTTTTAAGTCGAAAAATTGAAAATCGAGAAACCCAAAAATCGAAACATCGAAATCTGGAAAATTCGAAAATTGATAAAACTGAAAAATGAAAAATTTAAAAACCAAAAAATTGAAATATCGAAAAACCGAAAAATCAAAATACGAGAAATCGAAAAATAAAAAATTTAAGAAACCAAAAACTTGAAACATCAAAAACCGAAAAATCAAAAAACGACAAATCAAGAAATCCAAGAAATTAACATAAATAAAAAAATGAAGAATCATAATAACTGAAAAATCTCAAAATTCGATCTCCAAAAATGGATCAATCCATAAATCAAAAAATTGAAAAATCCCAAAATTGAAAAAGAAAAACTAAGATGTCGAAAAATTGCAAAATCGAGAAATGGGAGAATCAAAATATTCAAAAGTCGAAAAATCGAATAGTCAAAAGGTCGAGAAGTCCAAAAATCGAAAAGCCGAAAAATTGAGCAGTCGAGGAATGGGAAGATCAAAATATAGAAAAATCGAAAAATTATCAAAAATTAGAAAATTTAAAAACATCAAACAATGGAATCAGTGGAAAACAAACAGAAAATTTAAAAATCGAAAAATTGAGAAATGAAAACTTGGAAAATCGAGAAATTTAATAATTGAAAAATTGAAAAATCTCAACCCAAAAATTGAAAAATTAATCAATCGAAGTTGTATATTTTGACTAAAAAGTTACCATGCTTAGAATAACTTCGAAACGCCTGCAAGATTTCAAAGCAGACAGAGAGACGGACGGAAACGGGGGACTTATTTCTCCGTACTCTAGGAGTTATGAAAGGTCGAAAAAACACAAGTAGATAGTCGGCCGACGGACTTACGCTCGGGAAGTAAAAACACACCTAAATCCATAAAATGCAACAAAAACACCCAAACCCACTTACCTGGTTACTTTTTTGGGGGAAATCGATAGGGTTATTAATTTTTTAGCCTTCCGTCTGAGAAGAACTATTTGTGGCAATTACTGGAATCGATTATGGACACGAACCTATAATCATGTCACGATTCAGTTGATGAAGTGTTTGTTATCGGAAATTCTTCCAATTTTGTTTTTATTTAAGACTATTATTTATTTTTATGGGATAAATTTGCATTTGCAAATGTGCGAAAAGCGTGCAAAAAATGTGCGTAGTTAAATACCACTGATCACTAATAATATCCTAAGGACATTAATAATTACTAGTTTTATCATAATTTTGGAAAGCATATTTTTTGGTGCAAAAAGAAATGTTCTTGTGAAAGTTGCGATAAAACTACAGTTTGTAACAGTGCTCGAGGGGTAATTTTTTCTAAATCACAGTAACTTCACTTGTAATAATATTGTAATGGTTTCTCTCTTTCGAAGGAGAAAACCAACATGGGTTTTTGTAATAACGTTACTTAATTCTAAACAAGACAACACGTTTTCTAAAAAATGCAGAAGATTTAGGTGCGATCCTTACCAGTATTTACGTAACCAAGAAAAAAAAGTAGAAACTATTTTAAACCGGAAGCATATTCGACCTTTCGTTCACTATGAATTCGGACCCGAATATTAGAGAAAGTATCTTATAATAAATAATTCAAATCTCTAGCAATTAGTTACGTAAGTCCCTCATCGGAAGTACTTCCATCTGTCGTCTCTTGAGCAAAAATACGCTTTCAGTCACTTCTCTCGACCACACCGCCGCTTTTTGCCTAACCCGCATCCAAGAAATTCCAAACCGCCTATAAGAAACATGACGCAACTGCATCTCTCTCGCTCTTAAACCGAATCGGAAGTGAAAGTCCTTCCGTGGACCATCCTAAATCCACCACATACTTTACGTAATAATTTAATCAAACCTGGTCATTAAACGAAAAAAACGATGTCGTAACATATCGTGTCCGCGCCAACCTGCATTAATTTCGCCAAAAAAAAACTACTTTCACGCATTATTCCTGCGTGCCATCTTCAATTAGTACCACCGTACTAACCCACAAAACGAAACTGTTACACGTGATCTCACATCCATCCAAAGAAAGTCGGAAACAACGGCCCATTGTAAACTCGGTACCACCTCCAACGAATAGGAAAGTGGTACCGCACGCGCAAAATCCGGTCCTGGGTTGCGACAAAACGGAACTAAACGCACGGACCCCCTCCGTCACGACGTGCCACTTCTGCTTTTTCCCCGTGCGAAATCAACATGTCCAGAACCTTTTTACAACCGAACGAGCTTTCCTTCTAAGCATTCCGGACGCGAGTTTCGGGCCGAGCGCTTCGGACCATAGTGCTAGTACCAGTGAGTGTGTAATGGAAAGACGTGAAGTTGTGCGGAAAGTACTGAAGTTTCTGGTTAGCTGTTGGTGAGGATCGTTCTTTTTTAAAACGGAGCAGTTCGGATTAGTACTTTTCGAAAACCGAGGTCGCAGGAGCGAGTTAGTTAGTTTTGTAGTACTGCTATGAAAACCCGGTACGACTTTTCCGAGTACTCGCGTCAGCACTTTAACCGCTTAGTTAGCACGAGTTAATTGGTGCGTTTGCTTTTCGTTCCAGATAACTTGGAGCGCATTCTACTGAAGCAAAATGGTCACGTTTATAAATTCGACCCAAAACTCTCTATCCAAGCTGTATAGTTACTACGAATGGACGTTGTCCCTATCAGGTGAGCTTGATTAAGCGGTAGTACCAATGTTCAAAAATGTAGTTGCAGATTCGCGCACTAGAGGATGGCCTCTGGTGGACTCCCCCGGCCCCACGGCTGTATACACCGCAATTTATTTATTTATAGTGTGGGTCGGGCCGAAACTCATGAAAAATCGCAAACCCTTCAGATTGACGTGGCTTTTGATACCTTACAATTTACTAATGGCTGTTTTGAACGCGTACATTTCGGTGCAGCTTTTCACAGCTGCCACTAGGTTAAGGTACAGCTATATCTGCGAACCGTGTCGACAGCGGTACCACCCCGACGAACTCCAAGTGAGTACCCCCATAGTCCAAGTAGCGTCAAAATCTTATTCTCCTTCGTAGATTGCCAAAGCCGTTTGGTGGTACTACTTCTCCAAGTTGCTCGAATTCTGCGATACCTTTTTCTTCATCTTGAGGAAAAAAGATAAGCAGTTGACTTTCCTTCACGTGTACCACCATTCGACGATGTTCTCCTTGTGGTGGATCGGCATCAAGTGGGTGCCCAGCGGCTCAAGTAATTACTAATTTTTCGCTAGTACTCCAGTACTAATTCGATTTTTAGCCTTCCTCCCGGCTATGGTGAATTCGGGTATCCACGTCCTGATGTATTCGTACTACGGCTTGGCGGCCCTCGGCCCTCACATCGCCAGGTACTTGTGGTGGAAGAGGTACTTGACGATTCTCCAAATGGTGAGTAAAACGGACTTGTTGTACCGCAAGTGGGTCGCGATGAACCACTTCACTACTTTCACTTTCGGAACTTAAATCGACGTCTCGTGTATTGACATACTAAATTAAGGAGATGCGTTTGATTGTCGAGACCTCGTTTTCTTTTCTCCTTTATATGGATAATGGTTCATGAACCTCACTCATTCAAGTACTATTTTCCAGATTCAGTTCACTTGTGCCTTGGTTCTGGGTATAAACGGTATCAGAACTGGTTGCGAGTTCCCCTTGTGGATGCACTACACCTTGATCGTCTACATGTTGTCGTTCATCGTCCTCTTCGGCAACTTCTACGTGAAGGCTTACATGGAAAAGGGAAGCCAAGTCTTCTTCGGTATGGACATGGGTTGCGGACAAGGCAACACCTACCTCTCCAAGAAAGATTCATACATCTACCAAAATGGGAAGAAAATTGATTAGATTCTAAAGGGCTTGTAGTCAAATCGCGATCTTCCTGTTCAATCAAATCGAAGTGATCTTTATAGTAGAAGAGAGAGTCATTCCGTTTGATGTTCTTACCTTGTTTTGTTATTAATTTTATTCGTAGCCTAATTTTTGTATATAATCGTAGGAATTAGCGAGAAACAGTATGTCAATTATTCGTTGATGTAGGCGAATCAGAGTTGTACACTGCCACTTCGCACATGCGTTTTTCCGTTGATGACGTAATCATGCAAGCTCAGGGTCTATGACAGAATCAAAAATAATAAATCAGTATTATGACACTGATAACCCCTGGCCATAGTTTAATAAAGACAATATGTTGATTGTTTTAATAAAGCAAAAATTGCCGCTCTATCATGTTTTATTTGCAGGGGAAAATTGACGCGATGCTAAAATTAGGACGAGCGCAACCACACGAACTGACAAAATCGCCTTTAATTTAAATTAACTTTAGGACGAGTGTGACTCGTACTTACTTAGCATCGCGGCAGAGACCCTATTATTATGATAGACGTAGGGGTAATTAGTAACAGAATTCAACTCCATTAAGTGATTAATACACTTAATGGGAAAGTTATAGCAAGTAATAGCTTTTTTGCTTAATGGTGTCACTTCTCATCAATTAATTACACGCTATTCGAAGAACCAGACCGAGCGGAAAACGGAAATTATTGTTAGTTTAGACATTTAAGATTACATTCACTCCAATCCAACCCCTCATTTTTTATATATATATATATTTCTAAGATGTTTACCACAAGTCGTTAAAAACCTGTTCAATTTTTCCTCAGTTGTTTTTATTAAGCGTCTCGTTGCAGTGATAAGCAATTAACGCCGAAATGTTACTTAACAAGTGCAGTCCAGATGTTGTAATTAACTTGTTTAAAACGAAGAGAAATTGTTATTCGCTTTCTGATGAACAAAACTTGTTTTAATTTTTCTGTTTCCACGTATTATAGTGTAAAGTAATAATTTAGTTCTGCAGCATTGTTAAAAGTCTGACACTTTCATTTCCTCGTTCTCGAAACAGGGTAATTATGTGTAGTTTTTCTTGTTAGATATTATTTTTGTTTGTTTTTCAGCAGGATGTTAATGAGCATGAATACAGATTATTAATAAAAATGAAAACGCAGTCTTTTTCTACAATAATTCGGTGTACGTTTAAATATAAGTTTTTCGGTGAGGTTTTTAATATTCCTTAGTTGACAGTGAACAGTTAGCGCCATCTACCGGTAAGTGAAGTCCCCTTAACATGACAGTTTCGTACCATTTTTACAGAGATCAGAGATACTAGAATTTAATTAGAACGTTCCTGTATCAGGTGAAAATGACACTTCTAGTTTATTGTAAAGTTTTTACACAATTCTTTTCCTTGTATAATGAACTCTTCCTCTTTTCACTTATTACTTTTCGAGTGTAAAATGGTATTATAATGGATCTTTAATTACGATTTAACACGACGAAAGCAGTGTGAAAGACGTACACCGTACACCGTCTGCTGCATTAAGACTTCGTTATTGTATTCCTAATTCTTCTTAGATTTGTTAATTGGGGAAATTTAATTGTTGAATCATTATCCCCCGTTTGGAACGGATATACCTCAATTAAATCTAATAGTTCTACTTTGCAATGAGGAACTACCAACATTTGTAAAAATATATTTTTTTATTTTAGAAATTTTACTGAAAGATAAAAATTGTCGATTTTACGTTCTTTCAAAGCTGCAAGCTGCAAAGAAAATATTTTGCCACAGAACTCCCGGATTTTCCTAAAAAATGTTTCGTTATTGCTTATCTCTCAGCTCTGCTTCTTTTAAGAGACGAATAAAAGCGATTTGGGATTATTCTAATTCTCCAAGACTCGATTTTCCTTGCTTTTATAAATTTCTTAATTTCAATTGTAAATACTTCTGACAAATTATTCATAAACTGAGTACTTCTGATTTACATAGATTATTGCGCTTCTTCCAAAGGCTGAATTTTTTTATAGAGTCGTAATAAAACAGCTTCAGTCGAAAAAAAATCGTTTCTGATACCTCACCTCGTAAATCACGCTCTCGCAGCTTTTTTGACTTGAATTTTTCAATTCTTTAATTTTTTTTTCTTCAGTTTTTCAAAATTTTTCGGTTATTCAGTTTTCCGAATTTGAATTTTTCAATTTTTCGTTGGGTTTCCTATTTTCACCGTTTTTTCAATTATTCGATTTTTCATTGGTTCCATTTTATAATTTTTTTGTTTTTTGATTTTTAATTTTTTTTGTTGCAATTTTTCTTTTCGGTTTTTTACTTTCTTCTTCTTTTTCTTGTAAGTTTTTCAGTTTCTCGATTTTCCAACTTTTGGATGCTTCAGTTTTTAGATTTTGCAATTTTTTGATTTGCAATTTCACGAGTTTTCGATTTGCAATTTTTCGTTTCGGTGTTTTCTGTTCCTTGTTTTTAAAATTTTTCGGTTCGATTATTTTGTAATTTTTCTTTTTTTCAACGTGAAATTTTTGAGTTTTTTGATTTTTCAATTTTTCGGTTTGCAATTTTATCGATTTTCAATTTTTCGTTTTTTCAATTTTATTTCTGGATTTTCCAATTTTTCATTTTTTTTGTTTCTTCAATTCTTAAATCTTGCACAGTTTTTCTATTTAAGATTTTTCGAGATTTCAATTTTCAATTTTTCGATTCTTTAATTTTTCATTTCTTCACTTTTTCGATTCGAGTTTTTGTTTTCTTAATTTTTTTTGTTTTTTCAATGTCAATTTTTTCATTTTTTTTGTTTCTTCAATTGTATGACTCTTATTAGAGTTTTCATTTGTAAATATTTCAGTTTTTCGATTTTCCAAGTTTTGGATACTTTTCAATGTCGTGAAATGTTTGAGTTTTTGGATGTTTTAATTTTCAATTTTATCGGTTTTTCAATTTTTAGATTTTTTAATTTTTCGTTTTTTCGATTTTAGATTTTTCATTTTCTTGATTTTCCAATTCCTAAATCTTGTACAAGTTTTCTACTTAAAATTAATTGAAATTTCAATTTTTAGTTTTTCAATTTTTCGTTTTTTCAAATTTTCAACTTGCAATTTTTCGTTTCGAATTTTTTATTTTTTATTTTTTTTTGTTTATTCAATTTCATGACATGCAACTCTTCTAAATTTTTCAGTTTTATGGATTTTCCAACTTTTGGATGTTTCATTTTTAGATTTTGCAATTTTTTTGATTGCAATTTCACGATTTTCAATTTTTAATTTTTTGGTTTCGGTTTTTTATTTTCTTTATTTTCAATTTTTCGGTTTTTCAATGTTCTGATTTTTAATTTTTTTTTTTCAACGTGAAATTATTCTATTTTTAGTTTTTCCAATTTTTTGATTTGCAATTTTATCGGTTTTTCAATTTTTAGATGTTTTAATTTTTCATTTTAAATATGTAATAATTATAATTTTTAAAATTTTCTAAATTTTACAGTTTTAGAGTTTTTCCATTTTTCAATAACATACTGGATTTTTAACTTTTTCATTTATTTTATTTTTCATTTTTTCGATTTTTTCTTTTTCAATTACAGATTGTCGGCTTTAATATTTTGACGATTCTATAATTTTTCAGTTTTTCGATTTGCAATTTTTAGATTTTCCACTTTCGATTTTGCAATTTACTGTTTTTCATTTTTTCCTTTATCAATTTTTTCCGAATTTTTGGTTTTTCGATTTTCCAATTTTTAAATTTTTCAACTTTTCGAATCAAAAAAATGGAATAATGCAAAATTGTAAAATTGCAAAATCAAAAATGAAATAAAACTAAATGGAAGTAAGAACTTGAAAAACAGTAAAGGAAAAGTTGTAAAATCGAAAAATTGATAAACTTAAGAATAGAAAAAACGAAATACTGTAAAATGGAAATATTCAAAATGAAAGAAATCGGAAAATGAAAAACTGAAGAAACAAAAAATTAAAAAAATCGGAAGTCGAGAAATTGAAAAATTGAAAAACTGAAAAACAAAAAATGAAAAAAGCATAAAATGGAAAATGAAAACTGAAAAATCTGAAAATTGGAAATCAAAAACTTGAAAAATGAAGAAACGAAAAATCGAGAAGACGAAATCTTGTAAGGTCGAAATACTGGAAATTAAAAAATTCGGAAAATTTTATAAGTGAAAAATCCAAAAATTGCAAAACTGAAAAATTTAAAGATTGGAAAACCGAGGAATTGAAAAATGAAAGTTTGAAAATAAAAAAAAAATTGAATAAACGAAAAATGATAAAGTCAAAAGAAACATTGAACAAATAAAGGAAATGAAAACATTAAAAGTTGTGATATAAAATCGAAAATGAAAATAAAAGATCGGGAAAATAGAAAGTGAAAAATTGCAAAATGGAAAATTGTAATTTCGAAAAATTGAAAAAATAAAAGTTGAAAAAACGAAAAATTATTTAATCGAAACACTGAACATGGAAAAACTGAAAAATGAAAGAAAATGAAAAAACGAAAAATCGTGATACCAAAAAATTGGTCGAAGGTCCAGATTTTTCGAAAAATTTGATTTTGTGAATAATATTTTCTTATGATTTTTCAACTTTTCGTATCAAAAAAATGGAAAAATTGCAAAATTGTAAAATCAAAAAACAAAAAAATGAGAAAACGATAAAAATATAAAATAAAAACTTTGAAAAATCTAAAAATTGGAAATCAAGAACTTGAAAAATTGCAAAAACGAGCTTGTGAAGGTAATTGAATCCAAATTTTTCGAAAAATTATTTTTTTTATGATAACCCTTGCAAGTTAAAATTAAAACATTTTATTATAATATATTATATTAATTGTTTTGAGTTACCCTGTATAAGTAATTATAAAATCCATGAGTGCATTGATAAACCACATTTATATATTTAATCAAACTGAAAGTAAAACTTTCTTCTAGTAGTTTCAGAGATTATCTTTCTAATAAAAATTCGGACAGACCAACGGAAATGGGCGACGTATTTTTTCGTACTTTCGGGATCATAAAACGTCGAGAAAACATAAAAGTAGTCAGTTTATGCTCAGGAAGTAAAATAGGGTCTGAAATTCCATTATAGAAGACCAATCCAGTTTCAACGATAGACGAATTAAAAGTGAGGTTATCTATATCAGACTGATATCATACTCTTCCCTAATTTTATCCCTCAAAGTTTAAAAAATATTTTACATTCACACACATTTCAAGACCTAAAAATAATACAACGACTAATAAACACAATCTGACAAACAGCTACATAGGTAACAGGATAAAGACCGGGAACAAGATCCCCGTCCCGGACTTTCTGTACCGACCTCCTTTGACACATTCGTGACATCCGCGAAATTAAACGTCAAGCCTCTGATCAAATTCCAAATTCTCCGTCAAAATTCCTCCAAGAAGCCGCGACTTCCAACCTGGAAGGCCTATCGATTGCGTTTGTCTAGCAAGTTATGAAACGTCGATGTAGTGGCGCTGGTGTCGAGACGCCCGTCGCGATGCCTCGCACCGACAGCCCCTCAGTAGACCTGTTGTCGTCGCCACGTAAACACCACCAACTCATATGGCCTAATAAAGACGCTGCCAACCAACAACACAAGGTGAAGAGTTGCTCCACCGAGTTTCCACGAAGACGCACTAAAAGGTAGGAGGAATTCCGCTCGAAAGCGTTGATTCGGTGCTTTACCGCAGTCCGGGAAGAGTTTCAGAGTTTCAGATGCTGCGCCATTTGTTTACGACTTTGCCGGTATGCGCTAGCTAGTACTAGTGTAAAGAGGGTTCGAATTAACGGTTGCGGCCGTGTAATTAGTTTGACCACGAACTACCGGACCGATTACTACTTTTGGGTTGACTGTATTTTAGTTTGTTACTATTTATTAACAAAGATTACGTAACTGACCTCTTTTGAAGAGAATCTTTAGACGGAGCTAGCTTCCCCTCCAAAAAATGGATGACGTCATTTCAGAAAACTCGAATTAGCTAGTTTTTCGTTTGGTAGGTGGAAAAATGAAGACTATGAGATGCAATCAATATAATAGTGGTTCGTGTGATTAAATATGCAGAAATGCACATGGAAGGTCCCACGGGTCGGTTATCATTTGCTGCAGGGGTTATACAGAGTGGTACAAAGAATGGAGTAATTACGGATTACGTCTAATAGAATTATTTATGAAAGGATATTATCGAGAGAGCGCTGTAATGAACACAATGAAAAGTTGCTTGCTTAATTTGGGAGGGAAATTTTCTTCTCTGTGTTAATATTGAGTGGAAATGTAGATACAGCTAATTGGTAAATATGACTGGCTAAACTTGTGTTGAATTCAAGTTGCGAGTATCGTAGTGAGGCTTTTTTGATTAAACTTCAAAGGATTTGTGGTTTTGTTGTTTGTGTCGTTCGTTAGTGATGCTGTCTGAGCGAGCGAAGCGAGCTTCATATTAACAGGTAATTCATTTTAAAGCTTTTTTTAGAGACGTTTGGCATAAAATAATGAATTAAAAGATGCACAAAAGCGGGAAAATCATTTGCAGCTGTTCCACCACTAAAAGTTCTCGGGAACAGTTCGACTTCATTATTTTTCGATATGGGTATTTGCAGTTTAAATCAATTCCACACTCTCCAATAAAAACGACTATCAGTAATTTTCTAGAATTTTCTTCTCGAGCGTAACCTCCTGGAATATGAACAGTAGGTCTCTTGTTTTTGTTGATCTGTTTTTTTAATTCATTTGTAATTTGTCATTTATTTATGTTTAAAAGAATCTTGATTTTCAAAAAATTTGGTCCTTGTTTCGGTTTTGAAAAACTTTGAAAGACTTTTGGAGTGCCTGGTGTTTTTTTTAAGAATTTGAAAAATCCTATAAGCCTTGTTGTTTTATTTTTGAAAAAATGGAGAGATTCTTGAGGTCTCTAAAGTCCTTTTTTAAGAATATAAAAGAAATTTAAAACAACATTGAAGATTCACGGTCTTTAGGTTTGGAACAAATTTGAGAGAATTTTTAGAGGCTCTAGTGCTTTATTTTTGGAAGATATTAAAATAACTTAAGGACTTTTTTCTCAAGAATCTTCAATGCCGCTGCTGTTTTCACTAAAAATAAACATTGGAAGATTCTGTTTTTTCGGATGTCTTTTTTTAAAGATTTGAAAAGAATCTTCATAGCTCGTTGGTGTGTTTTTTTTTAGAACAAATTTAAAGGACACTCGGAGGCTCTTGGTGTTTAGGTTCAAAACAAATTTGAAAGAACTTTAAGAGCCTCTGGTGTTTTATTTTTGAACTTTGAAGACTCTTTTCTGAAGAATCTTGGATGTCCACATTGTTTTCATTTTGAAATATTTGAAAAAATCTCTGGTTTCACAATGTTTCATTTAAAAAATTGAAAAGAATCTTGGTGTTTTGTTTAGGACAAATTTAAAAGAACTTCGGAGCGTTCGGGTGTTTAGGTTCAGAACAAATTTGAAAGAATTTTATGAACCTCTGGTGTTTTATTTTAGAAAAATATTAAAAGAACCTAGGGACTTTTTTCTAAAGAATCTTGGATGACCCTGCTGTTTTAATTTTGAAAAAAATTGTCGGAATTTCTATTTCCAAGTGTCTTTTTTTAAACATGAAAAGAATCTTGAAAGCCGTTGGTGTTTTAAAACAAATTTAAAGAACCTCGGAAGCTCCCGGTGTTTAGGGTTAGAACGAATTTGAAAGAATCTTAAGAGCCTTTGGTGTTTTATTTTTGAAAGACATTAAAAGAACCTTGGGAACTCTTTTCTAAAGAATCTTGGAGGTCTCTGCTGTTATTATTGTGAAAAAATTTGAAAGAAACTCAGGTTTCCGAGTGCCGTTTTTAAAGAACTGAAAAAAACTTGAAACCTCTAGAGTCATTCCTTTTTAAAGTATATAAAAGAATCTTGTGAACTCATTGGTGTGTTGTTTTAGAACAAATTGAAAACAACCTCGGAGGCTCCTGGAACGAATTTAAACGAATCTTAAGAGCCCCTGGTGTTTTATTTTTGAAAAATATTAAAAGAACCTTGGGGACTGTTTTCTAAAGAATCTTACCATTTTGAAAGATTTCCGAGTGTCTTTTTTAAAGAATTGGAAAGAACCTTCAAGCCCCTAGAATAACTTCTTTTTAAAGAATATAAAAGAATCTTGAGAAACCACTGGTGTTTTATTTTAGACAAAATTTAAAAAAAAACCTCGGAGGCTCCTGGTGTTAAAGTTCAGAACAAATTTGAAAGAATTTTAGAGCCTCTTGTGTTTTGTTTTTGAAAGATATTAAAAGAACCTGTTATTTTCATTATGGAAATAATTGAAAGAATCTCAGAGTCCTAAGTGTCTTTGTTGAGGTCCCTAGGGTATTTATTTTTAAGGAATATGAAAGAATCTTGAAAATCCACTAGTGTTTTGTTTTAGAATAAATTAAAAAAAAACCTTGGAGGCTTCTAGTGTTTAGTTTACGAGCGAATTTGAAAGAATCTTAAGAGCCCCTGGTGTTTTATTTTTGAAAAATATTAAAAGAACCTTGGAGACTGTTTTCTAAAGAATCTTACCATTTTGAAAGATTTGAAAGAAACTCAGATTTCCGAGTGTCTTTTTTTAAAGAATTGGAAAAAATCTTCAAGCCCCTAGAATAACTTCTTTTTAAAGAATATAGAAGAATCTTGAGAAACCACTGGTGTTTTATTTTAGACAAAATTAAAAAAAAAACACCTCGGAGGCTCCTGGTGTTAAAGTTCAAAACGAATTTGAAAGAATTTTAGAGCCTCTTGTGTTTTGTTTTTGAAAGATATTAAAAGAACCTGTTATTTTCATTATGGAAATAATTGAAAGAATCTCAGAGTCCTAAGTGTCTTTGTTGAGGTCCCTAGGGTATTTATTTTTAAGGAATATGAAAGAATCTTGAAAATCCACTAGTGTTTTGTTTTAGAATAAATTAAAAAAAAAACCTTGGAGGCTTCTAGTGTTTAGTTTACGAACGAATTTGAAAGAATCTTAAGAGCCCCTGGTGTTTTATTTTTGAAAAATATTAAAAAACCTTGGGGACTGTTTTCTAAAGAATCTTACCATTTTGAAAGATTTGAAAGAAACTCAGGTTTCCGAATGTTTTTTTTAAAGAATTTACAAGAATCTTCAAGCCCCTAGAATAACGTCTTTTTAAGGAATATAAAAGAATCTTGAGAAACCACTGGTGTTTTATTTTAGACAAAATTTAAAAAAAAAACCTCGGAGGCTCCTGGTGTTAAAGTTCAGAACGAATTTGAAAGAATTTTAGAGCCTCTTGTGTTTTGTTTTTGAAAGATATTAAAACAACCTTGAGGACTCTTTTCTGAAGAATCTTGGATGTCCCTGTTATTTTCATTATGGAAATAATTGAAAGAATCTCAGACTCCTAAGTGTCTTTGTTGAGGTCCCTAGGGTATTTATTTTTAAAGAATATGAAAGAATCTTGAAAATCCACTAGTGCTTTGTTTTAGAATAAATTAAAAAAAAAACCTTGGAGGCTTCTAGTGTTTAGTTTACGAACGAATTTGAAAGAATCTTAAGAGCCCCTGGTGTTTTATTTTTGAAAAATATTAAAAGAACCTTGGAGACTGTTTTCTAAAGAATCTTACCATTTTGAAAGATTTGAAAGAAACTCAGGTTTCCGAGTGTCTTTTTTTAAAGAATTGACAAGAATCTTCAAGCCCTTAGAATAACTTCTTTTTAAAGAATATAAAAGAATCTTGAGAAACCACTGGTGCTTTATTTTAGACAAAATTTTAAAAAAACCTTGGAGACTCCTGGTGTTAAAGTTCAGAACGAATTTGAAAGAATTTTAGAGCCTCTTGTATTTTGTTTTTGAAAGACATTAAAAGAACCTTGAGGACTCTTTTCTGAAGAATCTTGGATGCCCCTGTTATTTTCATTATGGAAATAGTTGAAAGAATCTCAGAGTCCTAAGTGTCTTTGTTGAGGTCCCTAGGGTATTTATTTTTAAAGAATATGAAAGAATCTTGAAAATCCACTAGTGTTTTGTTTTAGAATAAATTAAAAAAAAACTTGGAGGCTTCTAGTGTTTAGTTTACGAACGAATTTGAAAGAATCTTAAGAGCCCCTGGTGTTTTATTTTTGAAAAATATTAAAAGAACCTTGGAGACTGTTTTCTAAAGAATCTTACCATTTTGAAAGATTTGAAAGAAACTCAGGTTTCCGAGTGTCTTTTTTTAAAGAATTGACAAGAATCTTCAAGCCCTTAGAATAACTTCTTTTTAAAGAATATAAAAGAATCTTGAGAAACCACTGGTGCTTTATTTTAGACAAAATTTTAAAAAAACCTTGGAGACTCCTGGTGTTAAAGTTCAGAACGAATTTGAAAGAATTTTAGAGCCTCTTGTATTTTGTTTTTGAAAGACATTAAAAGAACCTTGAGGACTCTTTTCTGAAGAATTTTGGATGCCCCTGTTATTTTCATTATGGAAATAATTGAAAGAATCTCAGAGTCCTAAGTGTCTTTGTTGAGGTCCCTAGGGTATTTATTTTTAAAGAATATGCAAGATTCTTGAAAATCCACTAGTTTTGTTTTAGAATAAATTAAAAAAAAAAACTTGGAGGCTTCTAGTGTTTAGTTTACGAACGAATTTGAAAGAATCTTAAGAGCCCCTGGTGTTTTAATT